TTTTTTTTTTTTTTAATTGTAGTGCTATTACCAGTTGGCATGATCCATTAACTTTCTTATAATTATAAAACATCTAAGGAATGGAGGAAAGGCCAAACTGGCCAGCATTGGACATGAGGGTATATTTTGGACTTTGAAAAGAAGTTCAGCTTTCCTGAATCTCCTTTTGGACTCTTTATTCTTAATCCCCCAGTTGCTGCCCATCAGTACATTCTCCCTACTCTCCTGTGATTGCTTATCAATATGTTGCTCACCCTGGTCCTCCTTGTCTCATTGCAGGTTGGTTCCTATAGGGGATATATCAAGCTTCACCCACTAATCAGACGGTTTATGGTAGCTGGTGCACAGTCCAGCTCCCTGTAATAATCTTACCCAAGACTGGGAAATGATCAAATTTCAGTCCCTAGATTACCATGGTTCTTATGATGGTCTACAGTCAGAAAACCTCAATTCACTATTACCTGATGCATTAAAACTAACTTTCTCAGCCCAAGTTACCTAAATCCTTAACCTAGCTATTCCATACTACTCACCTTTCTACAATTATGGCAATATTCTCAGTGTCTCATGAATAACACATACTCACTTATTCATTTGTTTACTTGATTTTTCCTTTTACTTAAAATTGTCTCTTTTCTCGTTTACTAATGCAACATTTGCCAAATATAAAGTGTGGTAATTAAATTTGTGTATCTACTTGGCTGGGCCTGGTTGAGTGGCTGGGGAGCTGGTGGTAGTTATTCCCCATGATGAGACTGGCAATCAACTTCATGGTGGGATCTACCATAAACAGCTGAGTAGCTGCCTTTGGGATGTGGTCTGCTTCCTGTATATAGGGAGAAGCCTTGGTTATAGTCTCTAGCTTATGGCATTCTTGAACCCTAAATGTAGCCATGTCATTGTTCAGTAGCCTGCTATGCTCTGCTGACCTTGGGACTTACAATGGATTTAAATTAATGGCTTGCCATGTGGTTTGGTAACATTGGGACTGTGCCTTTTTACTTGTCAACCTTAGGTTTGTCAGCCTTGGTAGCCATCAGCTGTCTCAGTGAAGAAATGCCTCTAGTTCCAGTGGGCCAGGAGCAGGAGGCTGAGATGAACCCCAAGGTTGAGGGGCTTTAACCCAGTCCCTAGAGCCTGGCACTTTGAAGTTAGACTTAAAGCCTCCAAATTATAAGACTAAACTCCTGTTTGTTAAGGCCATCCCATTTGTGGTATATTCTTGTCAGAGTGGCACTAGGTCACCAGAACATAAAGCATAATGTCAAAATGAATACCACAAGGAAACTTACCCTTTTTAATCCAGAAATATTTTTTTACATTCTCTGTATACTTACAGACATTATTTTCAGAAAAACACAATCCCATGGTACATTATGTTCACTATTATTTTAGACACATAATTCTTATCTTCTGTCTACAATATACATAGTTAAATTTTTAAGCAATTTTTCAGTGTGCTTACATGTAGTACCTAAGGCATTTGACTGCTTACCAGAAGGCTGTTGGTTCAAACCCACCAGGCACTCCTGGGAAGGAAGGTTGGACAATCTATTTCCAT